TTTTTTTTTTTTTTTTTTTTTAATAAATCCAAAGTACATACATAACTTCTTCCTAGACTAGCAATCCCGTTTGTGTGGCTAATCCGCCTAATTGACCAGACTATCAAGAGTAACTGGTTTATCTTAATTAAAAAAAACCAGATCATTTAATGGCAACAAATAAACAAAATTACAGAGTAAAACTAGATGCATCAGAAATACATCTTTAGAGAACTAATATTTAAATGGAGAAAGTTTTCTTTAGGAATATCTTATGAAGTGAATAATGGGAATCTTACATACACTCAAAACTTGGCTCTTGTGCTATGGATTATTGATTATATATTAAACAATCAACAAATCCTGAGGTAAAACTTAGTGTAAAACAAAACACGTAAAACAAACGAGTGTTTCAGTAAAATAATTCATATTCTCAGCAACCTTCACTGAACCATAATTTTACCTTATACAATGATTTATGCAAATTCATTTTTCGTAATGCATTTTTTTAAAGCCAACACATTTCAACAATAATTGTTTAACCAGAAAAAGGACAGACAAGTCAACTAAGAAGAAAATACATCCTAATGGGAATTAAAAACAAACTACTATATTTGTTGCAGTCAGACAGTCACGCATTAGTAAATGTAATCTGGAATTCATTGCTGCTTTCGCTGTTACAACAATATTAGTTTGTAAACATTTCTCTCTTGCTCATGGTCAGTAAATTCGTAGGCTCAGTTCCAGCTACTGAGTCTTAAAGCTAAGTATCTAAAATTTCTTGGTTTACAATACTGGTGTTGTTTTACCCATTTCTTTAACTACTAGATTTTTTTTGTGGTAAAAGTCAACATTCAGCTGGCTTAAGAAAGGCAATACATACGTGCTTTCAATTTAAGTAGATGCAACAGCTCATTTTAACATTAAGAAGCAAATATAGATAAAACCTTGTCTTCTCCATCCAACTAATTATTTACAGAGTTACATAGCATTCAACAAGACCGAGCATATAGACATACTATCATTTTTCCAAACTTGCTTAAAACTCCAGCTCCCAGAAAGCATCCTGCATTTTTAAAACCTACTCTGAACTATTTTAGTTTTTAGTGGACTCGAACAGGAGCAGGCAAGAGCAACACTATTGTCCACATTGCTATGCCACCATACAACCTCCACTCTATTCCACTTCATGTAGCCAACTCAAAACCTCAGCAAGAATGTAAAATGTATCAGCTAAAGAAAGTTTATTACTCTGCTTTTAAAACCAAGACAATCTGTTCTTCAAAACCAGAGATACAGATTTGTAACATAAGCTTTTCTGCACTGCCTAAAAGATGCCCTTCCTTTTATCTTTAAAACAATATTCAGGAGATAAAACGACTCTTACATATTCACTAGGAGGAAAGGAAAGTTAGAAATAAGAGGACCTAATTTCAGTTTCCCAACAAATCAGATGCACAGTAATATTTTATATTTTGAAGGGCATGTGACTACTTGCCAAGTACCTCTGACATACAAATTGTTTGCAATTAGATAGTGACAAGATAAAATATACAGTTGCTCTGAAAGTGTTGATTTACTTAAATCAAAATTTTAAAATAAATGTAGAAAGAGCTTAATAGGATCTTTCATTATAATATTACATCACTAGGGAACAGTGAATTGGCTGACAGATTTTATGCAACTTCAGCAAAGGCTACATGCTCGAAACAGGAAAAAATAAATCAGTGTCTAATTCAATTGTTACTCTATGTGGCATTCATAATAATGAAGAAAGTGAAAAACTATCAGCTTAGTTCTCAAGAAAACTGACAAATCTATATTTAAGTAACAAAAAAAAAAAAAAAAAAGCACCAAACAACAAAATAAATCCATAAAACAAGCCCCATCCAAACACAACCCTAACACTGCAGTCTTTACCCTAGACCTCAAGCCATAGGCTTTCCATCTTCCCTGTTTCATGGCACTTAGGACCTATGTTTCTAAAACATTTGAAGATCCTCTGCAACATAAACATGACTTTGCAGTACTCATTACCCTTGGCTTAGATTTAGCTTTAATTAGATCTCCTTCATACAGAAGTGCTTAGCCAAAAATTCTACTGTGCATTTTGTTTTACTGACTTCGTAAGATGATGCCTGGATTGACCTCAGATCTTACTGTCATATGAGGGGTTTGGAATTGGTTTAAGTATTTGGTTAAAGTATTTTCAAAGACATTAGACATTTTTGGCAATGTTTCTGAAAACTGCAGTTCAAAAGAAATTGTCAAGCACTTAGGTTATCAACTATGAATTCCCATGTCTCACACCTTCCCTATAAAAATATTGTGCTTAAACATATGGAACAATCCCTGAATGTGGCAGTTTTTTCTAACCAACAAATTTTAAAGTGTAAAAGGATTTTTAAAACTAATTGCAGAGATAAATTCAGAATCATTAGTCTTGTAAATTTTAAAATGTTGCTTAAAATACATCTAAAGCAAGTACCCCTGTGAATTCATTGTTTTCACTTGAGTTCTACTTTTCTGACTCCTCAGTCCCACTCAGCCAGAAGCAAAAAATATGACATCTAAAGAAAAACAAACCATCTTCATCTGATTTAACAACCATTTTGCCTTTCAGCTTTCACAGGCTATTAGCAAGACAATGAAAAACAAAAATCATAATAATCACTGCCTTAATTCAGTTTACTTCTAAAAGCACATACACTTGCTTTTTTTTTTTTTTAATGGACTAGTTGTTGCACCAACCTGCTCACTTTTTTATTTGTAAATTCAGTGAAACTATCTTCGTGTCTGTAAAGTAATTACACTGTGCAATCTGCACAAAAAAAATGAATGTGAAATTGTCTAGTTTTACGTGCCTGGAATTGGATACTGGCACCTAAACCACTGTTTGGATTCACTTTTGAAAACCTGGTAACTTAGGTGTGCATAAATTGATATCTACAGGGACTGTAAACTTACAGTTGCAGGATACATCAAAGAAAATATTGTCTTATGAGCAGCATGCTGAGAAATACTTGAAATCTAAGCAAATCTCACCCAACTGCTTAAAAGATGATACTTTTAATGAATGAGGCATTCATTATTATAAAGATTTATTAAAAATACTAGCAAATGTAATCTAGTTCCATGGTAAACATCTTCAGTAGAAATGTACAGGCTTATGTGAATTAATATAGTACTCCTAAAACTATTTGCACAGAGAGAAACGGCAAATAAGAAAGTGTGTTCACTAAACTTATCCAACATTAAGATACCAGCCTCAGATCTATGAAGGCTACTTACAAAAATACCATTAATCTTTTAATAATAGAATCATATTAATATTAAAATCATATCCAGATAAAGTGTTCACATAAGGAGCAAATTAATACCTTCATAGACATAAAACCCTTGAGTCAGACTAAAATAAATTATTATCTATAGGTTAAGAAAGAAAAAAAGTTTATGCTTGGTGAAACATGCATTGTAATATTGTTTTAGCACCTCTCAAACATCTGAGTAGACTTGGAAGTTTAAGACACATCAGTCATAAATTAAAGGAAAATGACACAATTGAAGAGAAAAAAAAAAAAAAGGCATATATGATTGCCAGCATGAAATACTGGCTCTTCACAAATATTTAGAAATCTTGTCTTTTATTTCAAAAGGGATAAGATTATCCTAGAGATTAATTAGCTACTTTCCTCCCTTCCATCCCTGCCCCATACAAGACAGTACAATCCACTGCAGAATAATCCAACAGGCAGTCTAGCATTTTTCCCAAGGCACACAAGTTGCATCTTTACTAAACACTGGTCTCACCCTTTATACTGGAAGATTAGCGATGTCATGTCAGAATTTGCCCTCTCTTCATCTGTAATTTTTAAGGAGAAGTCAGGTATAGAACAATTTTTTCTTTTTTACCAGGCTACTTCAGATATAACTTCTTGCTCCACGTAAGATGAATAAAGAAAAAAATCTTGAGGGAAGAGGGAGGAGGAACAGACATGGTAAGATCTTTTTGGTACAGAATTTTGATTTTATAAAAACAAATGAATAGACAGATAACCGATTTAGGCAGCCTTCTGAAGTGTCTGCAATGCAACTATTAGAGCAATGTAGTAACTTCTGATCACAGAACCAGGAGTTCAAACTGATTCATCTGTTTTCATTGTTAAAGCTAAGTGAAATTTGGAGATGACTACTTGGTTAAGGTAGATCAAAAATGACCCTGTCATAATGTAGGGTTATTAACAAAAATATTTTTAAAATATAACCCTGTAGTGTCCGCTGAAATAAGACATCCAAGTAATAGCTCTGCAGTGTCAGTTTTTTAAGTCACAGTCTTCTGTCAAATGTTGTCTTCTGATACTTGCTTGTATTCTCATACTGGTTTTGATTTTCTTATTCTTGGTGATGCTCCACCTTCAACTTTTGCTGATCCATTGACAAAGTTAGCTGTAATTTTAAATTAAAATACAGTAAACAAACACAATTTTCCTTCACGACAAAACAATCAGAAACTGAACAGGATTTTTTTTTATTTTTAAAAAAAAAAAAAAGCATTAAGTATTTGCTGCAGTTGAAATTAACTTAGAGTTAGGTATGTAAAATGTTTAAGAACTTTGACTATACAAAATTGATATGAACAGGAATCAGACAAAAGTTGATTCTAAGTCTAGTCTCCTAACTCCAGGAGTTACAGATGCTTCATGAGCAGTATTAAAAATAGGGCAGAGTGGTCCTACCAACAAAAGTTCTTTCAGGTTCCAGGGGAACCTTGGTGACTTCCTGAGGCCTGACTTGCATTTAGACCATTGTTTTATTAGCCACTGACAGACTGAACCCCAGGAATTCAATCTCAATCCATACTTTTGCAGAAATTACTTCCTCAAATTATCTGTATTTTATATCCTACTTGTGTTCATTTTAAGCATGCTACTACATTAAAATTGTCTATCCTTATGTTATAAGAAATAGCAAACAGTAATTTGCTATTTACCTGCTCAAAATCACTTAAGGTTTTAGAACTCCATGTTGTCTCCTATCAGACATTTTTTTGAGCTAGGTGGTAATTAGTCTCTCCCCTTACTATCACCTTTTTATCTATCTTTCTGGCAGTGGTCTGAGTCTTTTCAGATGGGCTCATCAACACGACATACAATTTTTGGGATGTAGATACACACAGAGATTTATACAATGGATAGTACATTCTAGCTGAGGATTTTGGGTTAGGTTTTTTTATTGCAACAAGGAATTGATGTGATGTTTGCAGGAAAAAAAAACAGTGATTTAAAATCTTTCATGAGACAAATGCTAGTTTGAAGTCCATTGTTGTATATGTATAAAATGTTTTCTTTTCCCTCCCTCCATAATATGTGTTACTTTGAGTAGCTTAGAAATTTAGGAATTTGCCATTTTTTACTTATTGCATGTTTGCAAGATCTTTCTGCAACTCTCTACTGTAAGAAATTCAGAATAGTTATGTTCATAGACTTTGTTATCTCAACAGTTTATTAATGAATATGTCAGCACAGAAACTTGTTGGGCCCCACTGGTAAACTTTCTTCTGAGTGCCAGTTGACCATGCTTATATTCTGAATAATTACTAATTAAGTATTAATCAATGTCTCTTCTTCTGTGACATCTTAGTTTAACTGTGATCTTAGTTTAGTTGTTCTGCGTTATTCTTTAAATAATTTTTACTGATTCCTTAGTATTTTTTTTTCCTATTATACACCATTCTTAGTATCACTCCCATAAGGCATGCACTGTCCCAGACAGTCTGACATTTCACATTTCTAGCTTTGTCTGTCATGAGCATAAGCAGCTCAGGCCACAGCATGAAGAGCAGCTGCAACAGGACAGATGGAACAAAGCAGTATATGAAGGATTTATGGTACACTTCTAGTCCTTCTTTTGCCAATTAAATCTGAACTTGATTATTTTGGCTATGTAACTCTCCACACCTAACAACCTCAAATACATATTCTTTTCCTATTCTATTGGGATCCTGTGAAAAACATGCCTAACCACTGTTGAGACATGTTAATTGCAAATGAGTCTGAATTCTCATCTTAAGAGCTAGAGGACAAGAGGAGTCTATTTAAGGACTTATGGCTCATGCCTGCAACTATACTGGCTTCAGTGGAACCCAAACTCTCAGAGTATTTCTACAAGTACGAATACTTTTGCCATTAGAAGTAAGATGAACAGCACACAACATCCTTCCACATATTCAGTCAGAGAGTGGTAATGCCTGTGCTATTCTTTGTTTTACTAAATCGAAGCAAACACGAAATCAAACTATAGCATCATTTCTGCTATTCCAAAGTGTAGTCATCTTGGGAACTTAAATTGCACTAATTTCATAAAACACAGAAAAAGCAATTAAGTTACTCATCTGGAAATGAGAGAAGTATCTGCAAGACTGGAGAAAGAAAAAAAGAAAAAAGCATCTACAGATACATTCAGAGCATAAAGGCTGCTCCAGAATGATAAAGAAAAACAATGTTATGGCCCCATTATGGTATAGAATCTTCCAATTGGTTTCAGCTAATGCTGACTCAGGTAGTAAACTCTGAATGCAAAGAGCTTCAACCCCTCTTAGTAGAAACAAATACATGAAGATCAACTTCAGAAAGAGAGCCAGCCTGCAGTAAAAGGCCCAAGAAACCGCATTTTTCAAGACTCTACCCAAATCTCAGAAGCGATTCCCATCTTTCATACAGAAGTCTATCCAGCGTTTCATATATATGCTAACAAGAATACAAGTTTTCGCTATACCAAATCTTCATAACTCCCATTTAACTAATTTGATATAACACTGAAATTTGAAAATTATACAGTTTCATATAATTAAGAGCCGTTCTCCATTAGTTGTCCTTTGCCAGCTACTATGATGTTCCTTTTTGAGTTTTTTCCGTGGGTCTGATGTTCTTTACATGATGTGTCTTTATATAGAAGAACAAAGAAACTTAATTTTAATGGTCTGAAATGTTATAGAAGCAGAATTTATAAAATACATGAGGGATTTCATATGATAGGTCTTTTTCTGATGTTAAATCTAAAAAAGTTTTAGTAGCATTGTAAAAATCCTATTTAAAATTTAAAGAAACCCCTGGAATTAAGACCAGTTTCATGACATATTCCTTGTGTTTAGGTTAACATAGAGTTCAGTGAATAATCCTTAAGACTACCCAGGACTAACAATACAGTTAGCACACTGTGTGTTATCCTGTTATCAATACGGAATTAGAGAAGAACAAGCCCAAATGTTTGAAGCAGCTATAATATTATCTATATTTTCTGCATGTCAAAAGACAGATGTTTTTGCTCTTTTACAGAAAGATATAAGATGATACATCTGGTATAAAAACATTTGGCCTAGAAACAACTTTAAAAATTTTGCCACTGACCTCTGTTTAGTTCCTTTTTTGTTCGTTTGTTCTTTGTGTTAGTTATTTTTTTCTTTGGAATCTGGTTCTTAATATGCTCTCTCCATTTCTTCAGCTGAAAATTTATAAATTTCCACATCATCCAGGCCTGTGTTAGACAAACAGCACCCAGGCAGCCAATCCTAATAAGATTTGAGATTTTGGAGACAGTTAGATAAGTTTCAGTTAACCATTAATAGACTGCAAATCTGTACCTATTTTATTTTTTTCTCCAAAAGTCTACTATTGAAACAATTAAAATCTTCATACCATGGCAAACCAGATGTATCAGAAGGCTTTACCCAAGACAAGGTGTGTCACACAAGTGAATGGAAATCGTATGTAAGAATATTGCTAGAAGCAATCAGGTTTATCAAGGAGTCATGACCATAGCTTTCAATGGCTGACAGGGAATTGTGTCATTGAGGCCCCTTCTGACGAGCAATCTATGAATGAGAAATCACGTAGATTCAAAATCCCTCCCACACGCTTAATTACGGGCATTAAGTTATAAGGGTGAATGCTAAGGTGATGAGCTTATGCTGAAAAAGTAGTATCAACTTTAAAATTAACAAGCATGAACAAAAGACAAAAAATATTTTAAGAAAGTATCAAACAGATGATTAATTAAAAAATTAGGGGTATTAATGTCACCAAATTATACTATAGACACAAGAGGGAGGGGTGTTAATTAGATGATTATCAACAATCAATTTTTTAAAGTTTCAATTTTCTTTCTTCTTTTCTACTTCCCATAAATTTTGTTCTACCACTGTTATGAAAAGACAATAGGAAAGAGAACAAAATTTCCCTTCCCTTAAATACTCAAGAGGAAAACATCACCCAGGGAAAGTCTTCAAAATACATTATCATCCTGGGTTGCTTTATTATAAGATATTTTGAAATGCCACATTATACAAACATGAATGTCTACTAGCCTTGTTATACCTCACAGGGAGTACATTGAAGTTGCCATCTGCTATGGAAAAACCTGGATTCTCTACTCTTGCCAGACCAAATCCAAATGTGAGGACAGATAAAGTTAAGGTCAAAAGACGCACCATTACGAAAAGTAAAGCCCAAATGGTAAATCTGAAAACAAAATAATGAAATTAATGTGCTTTCTCATTTTAGTCCATTTCTTTGCAATAAAGTCAAACATACAAAGAACTTTCCATTAAAATTCTCTCTGCAACAATAGGGAAATGTCCATGGAGGAGACCAATAATTACAGAAAAAATCTGGTGATCTGCAAACATCCAGTCCTGCCTCATTACAGTCTTTTGACTAGAAAGTACAACAAAGTAAAAAGATGCATCTCAAGTTGGCATTCATACTGTAAGCCATTTATAAATAATGGTGATACTATAAAGCCAGAGAGCTGATGCTAAAGGTATAATATACATTTATTAAACAGCTGGATGATGTATATAATTTTTAACAGCCAGATGTTTATAGGATGAGAAGGTAATCAGATAGCTAATAAGTAATTATTTCACAATACAGCTAACAGAGAAAGATGCTGCAAATCTGCAGATTTTCAGCATTGGGAAGTTTTTGCTATAGTATACGGGAAAAACCCTGAAGAACAGTTTTAATAAGCTGACAGTAATTAATTTAGGAAATTGGTATTATTTCTGTTATTCCATAAAGATTTCTATAGGAAAAAGACTTTGTATTGTGTGACTGATGAATGGATTAAAAAAGACACTATCAATGTGAAAGAAGTATCTCAAAAATTTCCATTACAAAAAGAAAAAAAAAAAATCATCTTGTTCAACTAATATCAAACTTAAAGAAAACATACTTCAAATCTCTCACGGTATAAGCAAGACTGCTTAAAAAGCACTCTTTACATCCTCCACCAAAAAAAGATTTTGAGAAAAGCTACAACATCTGGATGTAGAACTGTAAGAAAAAACAAATTCTGAGCTAGGAAAAATACCTAGTATTTGTCATTGTGTTGTTTCTACAGTCTACATTATAAGTGTTACATGTTGTAATACAAATAACATGCCCCAAATACTTCTACTATGCATCAGCTATGAAAACCAATTTCCATTCCAGTTATTTAAACTGTGGTAATATTGCACATGAGATAACCGATTTCCAGCCAAAGACAGACAGCTATTTATCTGACCATCAGAGTCTTCATAAGACAGGAAAATATGTTCTCCTGATCAGTGTATTTTAGCCTTCATGTTTTTGGACAGCATACAATGAAAAGCAGATAAACTCATAGCTCCAAAATTCTCATAATTAAACATGACACACAAGTGAAAGATGAGCTAACTTTCTCCTGCTTTCCCTGTTTGCATCAGTAAACATAGATTTTTTTTTTTTTTTGCAAAGGACATTCAGCATACCTATTTAAAATGTTAGCTTTAAGGAGCAACACAAATGAATCTTCAGAAAAGACCTGAAAGAGCAGCGGCATTACAGTGCCTCAAGGGAGGCTGCCTATATAAAGGGACTGCATGAAAGAAAGCAAGGCGTTCATGATAATCTCTTCCAGCTGGGCAGTCACTCAGAAAAGGAAGAAAGAATAAGAGACAAGAACACATAAATGGGACAAGGCTGCTTTATTTAAACTAGAACCTCCAAAAGTCTTTGCATTCAAATGGTGAAATGAATCCTAGTATGCCACACAGTTAAATATCGCAGTTCCTCAATCTCCTTCCATTCTGAAATGCATTACTTTTATACCCATTAATTCTCAGAACAGTTGAGAATCTTACTCAAGAGATGTATAATTAAAGACATCTCATCAACTACACATTTTGAGACACTGCATTCTCTGTTGTATTGAGACTTCCCCTTCTCACCTTACCAAAAGGAGAGAAACCTGCAAGAACTTACAGGGAATGCTGCTGTTATTACTTCTCCTATTAACTGTTTTTAAAAGCAAGTGTCCCTACATACAAACATTTATGAACATTTAAGCAAACAGGCAACTTACAGAATCTGAAGCCAATACACAGATACCCGAGACGGGACTTTAGCAAAACCTTATGAAGATGATCATGAAGTAGTGCATTTGCTGCCTTGACCCTATGTAATGACAATGACTTGCTTGTGAATTCAAAGTGGGCAATAGTGGACATTGAACAAATAGTGTTTGCTACCTGAGTACCTTTACATACATGCAAATCCATTTACAGGCAATTAGTAAGCAAAGTTCTGAATTTTAATTAATGCATGCAAGATTTACCCTTTTTGCTTGTTTTCATCACTGAAGTAGAAAAGACGTGAGGCATGAAAAATGAGTTCCACTAGATAGTGAGGTACCATCAGAATTAGCCCCAAATGCTGCAAACTGTATAACAGAAAAGTTAGAAATTTTAATGACATTATAAAGAAAACAGATCTATCTATTCAAAATGAACATGCAAATACTTACTTTAATATATAGGCACCAGAGATATGAGCAATGTAAAGGCAAATATAACATAGCTGCCTTGGAATATCTTCCTAAAATTAGAGAAATTATAATAATGCTGTTACAGTTTAACTATAAAAAAACCAAACATATCATTCATTAGGTTTAATTATTTTTCACACTACTGTATAAATTTCTGGAAATACTATCTGAATCGAAAACTACAGACCACATAGACTAAATTAGATAAGAAATGCAAGCAATTAAAATATTAATAACTTAATATAAAAATATTATGTAAATATTAATATAGTTAATATAAACAAAAAATTTAATACTTGGAAAGCACAGATATTTCATGAACTGTACTGACAACTACTCCCCATACCTTTCGGATCTTTTGGAAGTATAGTTCTGGCAGTGCATGAAGCCAATAGGCTATCTGGCAAATATAGAAGAATTTTACCTGAAAACTAAACAAAAATTCAGTTTAAAAAAACCACAGGATGATGCGTCTTCAAGTTTTCAACAAGATACAAGCTTTTATTTCATTATCTTAAATTAATTCATTCTGATTTATTATCATATTCCTAATCATGATATCATGATTCCTAAATCACAAATACAAAACAAGTCTGTGGTGACAGTTTTTTGAATTAGCATCCATAACCTTCTTGATAGGAAGTTCTGAATCACCTTTAAAGACAATAGGAAAGAAAAAACACCAAAAAAATCTAACAAAGAAACATTTTATCCTGTGAGCAGTAGAACTCTATTTCTAAAAATTGCATATTATCCCTGTTCCCTCTATCACAGGCACCTGAGAAAAAATGGTGGGGGACCAGACAAAGAATACAACTTTGTAAGTCATCTTCATTTAAAACAAACAAACAAACAAAAAATCAAGCTATAAATCCCCTCTAATTTGAAAATTCAGTCTCTGACAAACATGTTTCTTCGGCGTGAAACAGTTCAGCAGTCCTATCACATATCTCATCTTGCAAACACTTCCACTTTAACCCAGCTACAATGGTTAAATTAAAGGAAGGTAAGAACACATATTAAGTATCTCTTGGATAGATATTCAATTAATCAAAACCTAGCTTTGGCTAAAACAGCTGACAGTTTTCAAACAGAAGAAAGTATTTTCATCTAGTTGTCATTCTTGTAAGGTATCAATGTCACTACCTTATTAGTGGTTCCCTAAAATTTGGGTGGTGAAATATTCAGTGATTAGAAGTACCAGATTTTTTTTCACGTTGAAAATAGAACACTTACAGCATACGAGAATGGGGATAGTCTTTCCAGAGTGAGATTGGGTTCATCACAAATTCTTCCTAAAGAAAAAGGCGATTGATTTAAGGACCTTCTTAATACTTTAAGACTATTTTTTAAATAAAAACAGTAAATAGAGTGACTTACTGCATTCAGAATACTTGCTCCCCATATAAATGAAAACAAGTAGAAAAATGCTAGCTGTCCCGATTCATTGAATTTGCTGTGCTTTGTTTTTGACAAATGCAGACGTCTACTAATTTTCTAGAAACAAAAAGCAGATTAATAAATGTAGTTTCTAAAACAAGAAATCTCTTTGGGAGTTGGCTGTTGAATTCTCTTTTCTTCCCAAATCTCCCATTCCTCAGCCAAAATACATAACTCCCACCATTTAAGACCCTGATCAGCACTTTGCATGACAATTAGCTTCAACAAGACTTGCCACTATGGTAAAGTTCACATGGACAATATTCAGATGATGCATTCAGACAAATTTTTTCCCCCCCATAATCAGAGTCATATTGCTAAATTTTTCAAATCTCTTTGCACGCTTAAAACCATTTGAGCTTCTGTGGCTCAGATGACCTATTTGTGAAGGCATTCTAAGACCATTCAGTAATAGATGGTCTTCACAACGTCTTTAACAAATTCATTTTACTTTGCACCTGAATTGGTGTAAAATTTGAGCTCACTCTTTGAGGCAAAGCTCGGCTGACATACAGAAATCCACCAGTGGAGTAATTTTCTGATCTTCTGAATGTATCTTATGAATCTAATGTAACGGATCTCATTCACAGATATTTTGAGTAGGGCATGAATATTTAATGTCTGCTTTTATAGAAAAATATAATTTATATTGATTGAAAGAAAGATTCAGTGGTTTATACCATTAATATATTGAGGAAATATCACTATAAAAATATCATAGAATCATTTAGGTTGGAAAAGACCCTTAAGCTCATTGAGTCCAACCCTGAAGCTAACACTACTGAGTCCACCACTAAACCAAAGTCTATTTGCATTTTTGTCAAAGAACAAAAGGATCGATCATAACAGGGCTTTTAAATGCTAAACCATTCCTTGTACCACAGCTTATACTTCACCTGAAGAAAAACTCTTAGCAACTGATGTGTAAAAGTAACATATTTACAAAAGTAAATTAAATCCCAGTAATAAACTTACATCTAATATGTACTCCTGGATTACCGCATGCAGATTAATAGCTACAAGCATGTAGAAGAAGATTGTGGCAATGTCTTTTGGACCATAGTCATAAAAATGAAATTGCTCACCGTTGTCACCTAAAAAAAAAAAGTGTGTATTTTTACATTCTTATGAAGGAGTACTCTGTGCAACTGAAGAAGGGCCGCAGGGACCATTGTTCTTAGAAGTTATGTTGATACAGAATACTACTTATAAATCTTACATTGTTGAAAATTACTTTTTATGCATGATTAGAAAACTTGGAACTTCTTTTCTTCAATACAATGATATAGTTATAAGCCTAGAACCAACTATTGAGAGCATCATACACTGAGCTGTATCTTCAATCCATTTCTGTCATCTTAGCCATCAAAAAAGGAAAAAAACCTTAAAAAAAAAAAAAGAACCACACACCAAGACCCTATCCTCTATAGTTTGTTAGAGATCAAATGAAACTGCATCTTAAGAAGCATGACTATATGTAGCAAAAAAACTATATACTGGAAACCTTAGTAGTTCAACACATTGGTAAGTAAAAACTTCCGCAGAATTAGTAATATGTTCTTATAAATCAAAACCAAAATTGCCCCAAAAAAGAATATTCACACAGTTACAGAAATACTTCAAATGTTTGTATTTACCATGTTTAAGTATGGGAGAACTTACAAATGAAATTCAATTAAAAAAGCATGTATCAGGAGCAGTAGACCTGAGGAAGCCTTATTTTGTAGGGGTGTCTCCTTTGGCCCACAGACACCCACTATAACAACCTCACTTTTCTTTATGCATCTGAGACACTGCAATGGAAAAGAAAGAACTTGTACTAATCAAGAGCCATGCTCATCCTGATTTACAGGCTAACATGTCTAACACATTCTTCTCTTTTCACTTAAGAGAGAGCATTAATTTGGATGTCTCTTATCTATACAGCCACCACTTTTCATAAACATCAAGGTATTTTGTTCTCTTTAAGACTTCTACCCTTTGTCAAACTCTGTTTATGTTGTCCAAATGCAAAACAGCAGAAATACTGACATCAAAAAACTTTTTTTCCCCTCCCAAAGGAAGCTAGGCTAGGTGTCAAGGAAGCAATTACTGCTTCCTGTAAGATGAATGGTACATTAAGGCCCTAATGCATAGGACACCCATATAACTCTGTCAGATGTCCTATTTCTATGTTTGAGAACAGCTTGTGATATGATCATTGAACAAGTAACTGCACAGCAAATTCTATTTCTGCCTGGTCCCTAGCGCTGTTTTCAAAATGAACCTTCACTAGTAATATATTCACGTGATATTTTCAGAAAGCCAGAGTTAACACCTCAAAATTGCTTGTGCAGAAGTCACACACACTTCCTCCTAAAACTCAAGGAAGCTGTACGTTGTTCATTCCATTGTATGTATGTATGTATGTATATATACACACACATACACCAAACAATATGAAGAAGCAACATCACAGGCCTCTTTGTAACCAGCGTGGATTTTAATTTGTCTCTGCTGTAGGAGATTTTTACTTGATGCTGCTCAAATATCAGTACACCAGAAGTCCACTGACTGTGTCCACCTCAAGTGTTCAACATTAAACATCTCAGGAAACATTTGCAAAAATTTATATATATTCATTACTGCAAGCAAAGTTGATCAATGCACTATTTTGAACATATTCAATGCAGTCAGAGTGTTACGTTATTTTGTATGGTCACAGCACAGAGGTCTCAAGTTTGGAAGTTAAGATTAGAACAGAAGTCACAGATTTAGCTCATTTCTCTGGACCTTAGTTCCCCATCTGGAATACTTCTACCACAGTACCTATTTTTTCCAAGACATTGTGCAGATTAATTCCTGAAAAGAAACAAAAATTATCAATACTATTAAGAAAAATTAAGTTATCAAATAAGGAAGTTCCACTAGCTGCTTACCACTCTTGTCTCTTGTATGTAGTACAGCAGGTACAAAAGATTAAAAAAAGGAAATATTTTGTGAGAAAAAAAAAACAAACAAAAACCCACAAAATAGTACTTTCTCCCCTTGTTATTTAAAAGCATGATTGAATCAGTAACATCAGTTAATTGAGAATGATAATGTGATATTTTTGAAATAAACACCACAAAATCCATTCCTAATTACATCAGAAATCATGAATAAGCAAGAGGTATGTAGAAGATTACCAAAATATTCTGTTACTTGATAACTCCTGTTGATTGTATCAAAAACTGAAAAGAATACATGCTTTTCATATTAAAATGCAAGTTCGTAGCAGAATTAACTACGGGAAAAATAGTGACATACTATTCACAATCAACAGAGAAAACACTAGAACATTTCAGTGAATATAGTATTAGTAAGCCCAAAACCAGACAGACACATATGAGAGTTCTACTATATGATAAAAGTGAAGTGAATCAAAGGCTTGAGGGGTGGGGGGGGCGGGGGGAAGAAGAGTAATTTTTAATAGTTGAGCTCTTGCATTACAAGAAAAAAAAATAGATTAGATTTAATCTCACCAGTGGTATAGGTGACATTGTACTGCACAGCAATAAAGATGATGGCGTACTTGGCTGAAACCTGGAATTCAAAAAGAAACAAGGAAAAAGTATCGGATTTTTCAAACACGTTAGACAATAAACACCCAAAACTAGAAGATTACACCATCAACAAACGTTCTCCCACACATGATTTAAATCAAAGAGGTCCCAAAAGTGTTATTAATCTCCCACAAATGTGGAAGCTCACCTTGTTGCAAATCCTTTAACATTTGCTGCATAGGGTCAGGACTTGAATTATATCCTTTTAGCTAAGGATCAGATTAGTCACTGTTCTACTAAATAATATTTTGAAGTGTTTAGAAGAATAAATGGCTTTCATTATTTCAAAAGTTAAAAGACTCACTAAATTAAAGTTTCACCTAACTTTGCAAGATACTAAAAAAGTGATGTTATGCCTAAGTGTCCATATAAGCAAATAGAGTATTCAAAACATCATAGTAGGATTATACGATTCATCAATTTCTTGTGTGATAAATCAAGCATTTTCTAAAAACTACAGTACAATCAAAGTAACCAATGGTATACTTTTACATTACTTTTTTTCCTCAGGTGGAAAAAATAGGTTTGCTTTTTTAAAAAAAATAAAAAAAACCCTAAACAACACTTTCAGCTATCCCTACCTCTACAAAATATCTTCCCATTCCCATGCTGCAGTATATTTAGCCCTTAGCTGTCACAATGGAACTATTTATAATGTGGATTACTGTATGACCCTCCAACCAAGTGATAAGAGGTAAATGTTTGCTTAGTTTAGTTGAAAAAACTTCACTATCTGGCTTGCACACCTTCAAACACAAACAGTTGTGGTGATATAACTGAAAAAGTGGTTAAGTTGTAACACAGGATATAAGTGGAAGGGAAGAAAAAGGGAAAAAAATAAACATAAATCACTCTTTCCTCTGCTAAAAAAAAAAAAAAAAAAAAGCAATATGAAATTACATCCTACACTGCTAATAGCAAATACATTTATTATGTTTGTAAGCACTCAGTTATCTAGTTCATAAATCAGAGAGGTGAAACAGGCACAATCTGAAAATTGATGTCAAAGAAATACATTCTTGTATCTTTTAGGCTTCCTTTTAAGCTGATCTTCATTGATATGACTTAAACCAAAGAAATAAAAAATAAAAAAGCTGTTTTCCTCAGATGTTGCACCATCTAATTTCTGAAAGTGTAACTAAGAACGTTCAGAACTACATAAAACAGGCATTTATCCAGCTACAAAGTAAGCAAGAGGCACAGCAACGCAAAGATCCTCAGTAGCAGAAAAAAAAACAAAAGGCAGCAAATCGCTTCAGAACACTGGGAGTGCACCTGTGAAATTAAGCAGTAGAGTCAGTCATAACACTGAAGAGTGCTTTTAAGAGGATGTCTCATTAAGGAAAACAAAAGTAACAATTTTTCTGGCATATAAAATTGACTTTCAGACACTGCAGTTCTCTGAACAATTTAACCTTTTGCAAGGCAGCACTACCATCAAAAGGAGCAATCCTGCCTTTCTCTTTACTATCAGTTGCTTCTTGTCTCTGTCCCACACTTGTGACACCAAAAGTACTGGTGTGGTGAATTGGACAGAGAAATTATGCAAGTTAAAACTGACCGGCAAAACAGAAAGGAGGAGAAAACTCTATTAACCTTACACAGATGAATTTCCTAATACGTTTCACTGCTCAGCTACATAAGTTCTTTTGTGTGCTTGATGGGGAGAATAAACAGCCAGAGAGCATCAATACCAACTTACAATGTTCATAGAACGAGTGTGAAAAAATCATTGCTCCTGGAAAGACACTGAAAATATAGATAGTTACAAAGGCGTTGATGTCATCAGCACCTAACGAAAACATGCTTGCTTTCAGTAAGTCATCACTCAGAGCCCACAGCAACAGTCTCCCTTGTCGAAGGGCATTCAGGCAACACCATGTAACTTCAAGCAGACCCCTTCATTAGGGAACTTCCCTGAGAGTAAGCTTTTTTTTTTATCCTCTTTGGGAGAAGAGGGTGGTAAGCAAGTTAGCTTTTCTGTTTGTCCATGAAGCATACAACATAATTCTACAAGCTTTTCACTCTGCTGGAAGTATGGGAGCCCATTAAGTGGTATTCTGTGGTAAGACAGCCACAAAGATGGTATAAATTGTTCTAGGAGGAAGGAAATAATATGAAACTCTGAGATTACACTAGAAGCTTGAAAAGAACCTTAAATACTAAAAGAAAGGTTTCTTTAGATGATATGGGCCACTCTGTTGTCAAGAAAACGAGTAGGCTTGTGCACACAAAGGACTATAAATATTCTTGGAAAAGGACAAGAAAGAAAACAACAGTTCATGTACTAAAATTTAACCTCCACTTTTCATTATGTTATAATCAGAGTGAATCTCCCTGCACACCTCATAATAATTGGCACAGTTAAGGCACAGGAAAGTACAATTAAGGTGGATAAACAACGTTACATGTAATAATTCCCCTTGAAATTCTTAGAATTGAATTTGTGACATTCCAATGTTGATTTCTAATTTTAACATATGTATAGGGGTTTGGATGGTCTCTTGGATATGGGCAACTGAACATCACCTAGAAAAGAAACCCCAGTATTTTCTATAATACTATGTAAGCTCGAGCAAATCATTCAATAGGTAGTCAACTGTGAAAAGTTTCACTTATACATTGTTTAGCTCACTAGGGTATAACCTATGGTACCATGGCCTAGATTTGGAAATCTGTCATTGACAGTTGCATCTGAAAACACAGGAAGCATAAAATGCTGTGAAAAAAAACCCAGATATTAAAAAAAAAAAAAAAGTTGCCCTTCAGTGCTTCAAATTTAAAACCTAAAAATAATTCCACTTTAATATGGAAAGAAAATCAAGACCGAAAGAAAACAGATATAACAGCTGTGTAGGCAAGTTCAGTACCACTTATGAAGCACTCAATATAGAATCATGATAAATGTCACCTAAATTTACTGGAAAAACATCAGTAGTTTTGTTTGTTTGGCAGACTGGATTACTCATTATAAAGATGGTATGAAACTTAGTGAGCAACAGAAATACAGATTTCATTCAAATAACTTCGGTAAGTCTTTCTGTGGTGAATGAGGCAGAGGAGTAATACAGAGGTCTAACCTGTTACATATTATGCTGAGGAACAGCGGTGCTAAGTGAAAGGCGTCTCAACCAAAAAAGTAATTTTTGCATCAAAAAGGAAATGCAGATGTTTAAATTCCACAATAAGAAGTATAATAGTATATATTCAAACGAGCACAATAAAAACATATCACAAGCGACACTAGTCTAGTCTGCTTTTGAACTTTTAGAATTCTGCTGACTAGAAATGACATTATTTGCTAGTTATCTTGAGTGTAAATAATATTGATTCATTCTTTTTCCTCTGAAAGAAATCACCTTCATCAAAACAATAATGCTCATCCCAGGGGACCTGCACAGTCCCTTCCAATACCTGCAGAGTTACAGAAATGTAATTTCCATGGCACATACAAAGCCTGAGTTAAGACAAATAGAATTCAGAGATGGAACTCTAGAAAACATACTTGTTTTTAACAGCAAAAAGATACAAAGCAGTATCCTTTTAGAAGTACCACTTATAAAGATAGATAAAAATTTCCATTTGGGAACTCAAATGGGATGTATTTTATCCCAGGTGGAGACATTTACTTTCTTTCTTAAAGCTTTTATCACCTGAGCTGTCAAACTTAGCTTTCTTTTTTTTTTTTTTTTAATCCCAAAACTGAGTTCTGCATTTAATATATTAACTTTTGACATAGTCCTCCATAGATGACACAACTTATTATACCTCAATTTAGAAATAAATTATCTGACCATCACAACTGCTTTCTCTATTTCTGTCCAGTATCCTTAATGTTTTCAGAAGTGGGTCAAGATACATTAAAAAAAAAAAAAAAAAAGGCACATCTGCATGTAACAGTACTTTTAATTTTAAATTATCTGATTTTTAATCTCATCCAATTGATGGGAAATATTGAAATATTTCAGTAGAATATATAAGTTGTAATAACAATAACATTTCAATGAAGTATTTAATACTTTTATCCAGAATTTAAACTCTATTTAACAAGCTTATCTCATACTCTACACCAACACAAAATATTCCTGTAGCAACACATACACGGATTTTTTTCCAAAAGTGTGGAAAAGGATGCCTAAGAGAGATGCCTAATCCATCACCCCAGAAACTAATAAGCAGCTTGCACACGGAAATAAACATTATAATAACCTTCAACTACAAAGTCAAAGAGGAATTCAGAAGTTAGACTGAGACTGCTTAATTCCACATTTTTCTTCGGATTATCCATAGCTAGGGAGCTGAACCAACGAGCAGCAACAGACTGAGCAGTGGTGCAAAAGGGTGACTAGCAGTTTTTAGCTACCATCTGGTTAAGCGTGCTCAAAACAACAGAGACCGTTTGAAACCATCTTTGTAACAGTGTTCCTGATGCTTTACCACGTGGACTCCTGAACTGGGCGAGGAGGGGGGAAAAAGAAAAAAGAAGACACAACACAAAGACATAAAACGACTCTGCTTTAAGTAAGGGGGCTTAAGGAGCTTCATAACTCAGGATACTGGAACTGAGTAAAAGGCTACTAGGTATGAAACATATACAGAAATGAAGGAAAATGGACGAGAAAAGAAAAGGGAAACAACCTGGCTGAGGAGGATAAGAGGAGGGATTGCATAGTGAGAGCGGGAACTGGCAAAGACAGGTTAGTAAGAGAAGGCACTAGGGAGTATGTGAGCCGGGGCAGAACAGAGAGACAAGTGACACTTGCTGCACTCGGAAAACAGCCAAGACACGGAGAGGAGGGTGCCCGAGCAGGGTGTCACAGAGCCAGACCTCGGGGTTGAACAGAAACAGGGACATGACCCTGCAGGGAAGAAGGGAAAAGGCAGACAGAGGGGTGGGGCAGAGCCGCTTGACAGCCAGGCTGAAGCGACCGGGGGGATGTACTGGGGAAGCTCCAGAGCGGGAAGCCAAGGGCGCCGCGGCTGGCCCACAGCAGGGCCAGGCGCTGCTCGGCAGCCAGCGGCCCCCTCACCCCGCCCAGTACCTCAAACATGAGCCCCAGCAGGAAGCCCATCACCAGGCAGGATGCGGTATCCGCATGGTTCTGAATGACGAACTCATGGCTGAGCACCACCAGCCTCTTGTTTTTCCTGCGGAGCCCCATGACGGTGCCGGCTCCCAGGGCCGGGCAGGCCCGCCGGGAGGAGCGGCACC